TTAGTATTTTTCCTCTTTTTTTTTTTTTTTTTTTTTTTTTTTTTTTAAATCATTTTAATATGAAGGTTAGCATAATAAGCTTTAAGGGAGAGACAACAGACTTTGATGATCTTCACCGAAACAAAAACCCCCCATTTGTTAATTTTCAAATTCTCCTTATAGTTAAGCAACTAGGACAATACATTGTTTAGACACATATTCTTTCTGTATCTCTTTTAAAACTACTGTATGACTGAAGCTCAAAAGCAGAATCAACTACTTCAAATCAATGACCTATTTAAAAGATGATGAGCTATAGAAACTGAGTCATATTTTTCTCTTTTTTTCTGAGAAGCAGCTAGAATGTACTAGGAACATGTCTGGTAGTTCTGCAGAATTGAATTTTTTAATAGGACTCTCCTATTACATACTTTTTTGTTAAGAAGTACCAAATGAAGTACCATCTTCTTGTAGGAAGATGACTGATGGTAAACATCCTTGCAAAGACCCTTGAATTATAATCTTGCATGAACAAATGAAATGAGAGGGCAACTTTAGAAAGAGGTTTAGCTAAATCAAAGGCAAATAGATTGTTTCACAGCAAGCAAAGAATTTTCCTCCATAGTTTCTTGATGATACGCAATAGGTAAAATAATATAGGTGTGAGCAGTGCATTTATTTATTCAGAGGCAAAATTGTGTCATGTAATGCAATTTCTATTGAAAGGGTTTGTCTGATAGGAGGCAAGATACAATTAGTTTGCAATTATTCACATTAATACCCTGTGATAAAAAGAACATGATGTATACACTGGGTACGCTAATGCTCAAATGTAATCAGGCTGACATTTCTGCTAAAAGCAGCAATACTGAAAAAAACTGTAAAGGTAGAAAATTTTGTCTGAAAAGATAGCATAGCTACAAATATTTCTGAAATACAGAAGAACTGGATGATTTTTAGAAATGAAATAACAAATGTTATAAAATGTGAGGGTGTGTGCATAGGGACTAAAAGATCTGGGATCTTGGAAATAAGAAAGAGGAGGAAAGATTTCAGATCAGGTGACAACAAAGCTGTAGAAAAGTGAAAGATCAGCTCTGAATAAAACAAGTTAAACACATTGAAGAGAAAAAAGGAAGTACGTGTTTTAAAAAAGCATCTCATATCCTGGCCTGTGTCAGCACTAGCGTGGCCAGCAGGGACAGGGAAGGGATCTGACCCCTGTACTCGGCACTGGGGAGGCCGCCCCTCGATTCCTGTGTTCAGTTTTGGGCCCCTCACTACAAAAAGGACATTGAATGACTCGAGCGTGTCCAGAGAAGGGCAACGGAGCTGGTGCAGGGTCTGGAGCACAGGTCGTACGGGGAGCGGCTGAGGGAACTGGGGGGGTTTAGTCTGGAGAAGAGGAGGCTGAGGGGAGACCTCATCGCCCTCTACAGCTCCCTGAAAGGAGGGTGCAGAGAGCTGGGGATGAGTCTCTTTAACCAAGTGATAAGCGATAGGACAAGAGGGAATGGCCTCAAGTTGCACCAGGAAAGGTTTAGACTGGATATTAGGAAGCATTTCTTTACAGAAGGGGTTGTTAGGCGTTGGAATGGGCTGCCCAGGGCAGTGGTGGAGTCCCCATCCCTGGAGGTGTTTAAGAGTTGGGTTGATTTAGCACTTAAGGATATCGTGTAGTTGGAACTGTCAGTGTTAGGTTAACGGTTGGACTAGATGATCTTCCAGATCTTTCCAGCCTTGATGATTCTGTGATATATTCTCATGAATATTCTGAGATATTCACCCAATGCTTAGAGAGCTCGGTCATAAATTCACACAGTTTCTAGATGATATTTCTCTTTATTTCACAATCATATTTACTAAAGATACTAATATTTTTAAGTTATTTTAAAGTAAGTGAAAAAAAATCTCCCAAAACCATGCTACAAAATATTGATGATTGTAAAAACATTTGGTACTGTTTGCAAACTCTGTAAGAGAAGCCCTTCTCACCTCTGCTTGGTGCTCCACCAGCCTCTCCAGGCTCTTCCAGGCTCCTTGTGCTCAACGGCCTCGACTGGGCAAGGGAGAAGCAGCAATGGCAGAAGGTGAGCAGCGATGCCTGTGCTGCTCACTAGAGGAGCAGTGCTGGGACAGCGCCCGAGCCAAAGAGACACTCACGGCATGGCGGCGGTCCAGCTCCTTCTCCAGGCGTTTGCGGGTGCTAAGGGCTGTGGGGGGACGGTTCAGGGGGGGCTGTAGTCACTTTGGTGTGCCCCCCTCAAGTGCCTTAAACATGCTGGGGGGGAGGAGCCTGTGCGGGGGGCGTGGCTTGTGGAAGCCCAATCCCCATTGACTGTTGTGTATTTAGGGGGGGTTCTGTTGGGGGGCTGGGGGGTGTCCTACGGGAATAAAGGATCTTGCAGTGAAGGCGTGGGGGCGAGTTAGTGTTGGGG